CCCAAATTATCTTCTCTGACATAGGGGGTATTGTAGTTGACTTAAATGCTGTCACAACAGATCAACGGATGCAGCAACACTTACTGGAATCTGGCCTTTGTTGTTTCCAAACGTCATTTAATCGAAGTTAACCACACATTTTCTCGGTAGCAAATAGTCCAATCCTAATATGCATTGGTCTTCAATGTCAGCCGAATATATTTTCTGTCTGTTCTTCATTCCCATGAGCTCAATAGTTACCCACACTGGACCCCACAACCTTGCATAATGTCCTGTCACACCACAGAGCTTCTGTACAGCTTCTGGTACTCCTTTGTGATCCAGCACCTTGATATTCACAAGGGTTTGTTGAGATGCAGAATCTGTGACAAAGTTGCAATTTTGGCCATCCAGCTTTCCTGTCACATAGACACTATATGTGCTTGGCATTTTACACCTAGCTGTTGGGACTTTCATGATAGGGGTTGGTGGGTGTCCCTCAGCACCAACCACTACTGGTTTCCTGAAGCTGACTTATTAGTGGTATTCTTCTTACACTGGCTCCTCATATGTCATTGCTCTCCACAGTTCCAACAAGCTTTCTAGGTAGCTACCTTTCCTGCCATGGCATCTTCCCTGTGTTGAAGTTTTAAGCATTGAGCTCTCTTGTGCCCAGGTTTGTTACAGTGCCAGCAAAGTCCCTCAAACTTCTCTGAAAGCTGACCTTTTCTGCCTTGAATCCTGATGACTGTACCAACCTTGGTACCTCTGTGCTGGACTTAACGTAGGATTCGAATTCAAGAGCTCTGGCCATTGCATCCTGAATAATAGAGGGGTGTGCTTGTTTCACTTGTATCTTTAATTGTGGACTATTCAAGGCGTCCACAAACTGATCCCTCAGCAACAGCTTGAGGAAATCTGGTGGTACAGTTGTGAAGGCCTTGTGTGCCATACTTTACAAATCCTGTGCCAGCTTTTACAAGCTCTCCTCTTTAGCATGGACTCTCGTCCTAAACCTAGCCATGTAGACTTTGGACTGATTTTGAGTTCCATACCTGATTTCTAGAGCAGCTACTAGTGCTCTATAATTGTTCCTGTCGTCTGCTGACAACTGTCCAAGTATTTCCAGTGGTTGTCCCTTCAGGCTCGTTGCCAGGTACACTGGTTTCTGCTCCTCTGTCTATCAATTCATTTCTAACAGGAGCTCAAATTGTGCTCTATATGCTTCACATCGTATTACTGTGGCTTCCTTCATACTAGATCACCCCTATTGCTGA